AAAAGCTTTGCTAAAGTCAAGGTACACAACATCACAATGTTTACCACTATCAACTGCCTCAACTATGCTGAAATAAAAACATAGAAAATTTGTTAAACATGAACGGCCATTTGTAAAACCATGTTGCGACTCATTTATTAATTTATGTTTCTCAAGATGAAGACGAATTGTGTTTGCAATTATCGATTCAAGTAACTTTCCCACAATAGACGTTAGGCTAATTGGCCGATAGTTTGACATAAGAACATAAGAACATAAGAACAAAGGTAACTGCAGAAGGCCTATTGGCCCATACGAGGCAGCTCCTATTCTATAACCACCCAATCCCACTCATATACTTGTCCAACCCGTGCTTGAAACAATCGAGGGACCCCACCTCCACAATGTTACGCGGCAATTGGTTCCACAAATCAACAACCCTGTTACTGAACCAGTATTTACCCAAGTCTTTCCTAAATCTAAACTTATCCAATTTATATCCATTGTTTCGTGTTCTGTCCTGTGTTGATACTTTTAATACCCTATTAATATCCCCCCGGTTATGTCCATTCATCCACTTGTAAACCTCTATCATGTCACCCCTAACTCTTCGCCTTTCCAGTGAATGCAACTTAAGCTTTGTTAATCTTTCTTCATATGAAAGATTTCTAATTTGGGGAATTAACTTAGTCATCCTACGCTGGACACTTTCAAGTGAATTTATATCCATTCTATAATATGGCGACCAAAACTGAACTGCATAATCTAAATGGGGCCTAACTAGAGCAAGATATAGCTTGAGAACCACACCAGGTGTCTTGTTACTAACGCTGCGATTAATAAATCCAAGTGTCCGATTTGCCTTATTACGAACATTTATGCATTGATCCTTTTGTTTTAAATTCTTACTAATCATAACTCCCAGATCCCTTTCGCAATCCGACTTCGCAATCACAACACCATCTAGCTCGTATCTTGTAACTCTATCATCATTACCTAACCTCAGAACTTTACATTTATCAGCATTAAACTGCATCTGCCAATCCTTTGACCATTTCAAAACCCTATCTAGATCAACTTGAAGTGATAGTGAGTCCTCCTCCGAATTAATTTCCCTACCGATTTTCGTATCATCGGCAAATTTGCAAATGTTGCTACTCAAACCTGAATCTAAATCATTATATATATTATAAACAACAGAGGTCCCAGGACAGAGCCTTGAGGCACTCCACTTACAACATTTTCCCACTCTGACTTGATTCCATTTATACTAACTCTCTGTTTCCTTTGGTATAGCCATGCCCTAATCCAGCTTAATATAGCACCCCCAATACCATGAGACTCTATTTTTTTAATCAGTCTTTCATGTGGCACTGTATCAAAAGCTTTGCTAAAGTCAAGGTATACAACATCGCAATCCTTACCACTATCAACTGCCTCAACAATGCTAGAATAAAAAGATAACAAATTTGTTAAACATGAACGGCCATTTATAAAACCATGTTGCGACTCAATTATTAATTTATGTTTTTCAAGATGAAGACGAATTTTATTTGCTATTATCGATTCAAGTAACTTTCCCACAATAGACGTTAGGCTAATTGGCCGATAGTTTGACGCAAGTGATTAAAAACATCTCCGTTCCTTTGCATTCTTTAAGCACCCTAGCAAAAATCGGCACCACACCAGCCTCCCTCCATGACTCCGCCACTCTGTCTCTAACTCCATCGACCTATTTGTCTTTGCTTGCCCTGCTATGCGAAATATGACAGACAGCGGCCCGGAAAGCTCTCCCTTGCACTCCCTAAGCACCCTGGTAAACACTTCTTCCGGCCCTGGGGATTTGTTTGGTTTTAGTTTTACTATTTGTTTAATTACGTCCTTCCTGGTAACTGCTAAACTATTCAACCTGTCCTCGTCCCCACCCACATATACTTGTTCGGCTGAAGGCATATTGTTAAGTTCCTCTTTAGTAAATACAGATATAAAATATTTACTAAAAATACTACTCATCTCCTCGTCATTATCCGTTATTTGACCTTTATCAGTTTTTAATGGACCTATCCTTTCCCTAGTCTTAGTTCGATATAACTGAAAAAACCCTTTAGGATTTGTCTTCGCTTGCCCTGCTATTCGAACTTCGTAGTTTCAATTTACTTTCCTTATCTCTTTTTAACATTCCTAACCAGTTGTACAAATTCCTGTTCTAAACCAACTTCCCCATTATTAATCCTTTTGTACCACGCTCTATTTTTACCTATAAGATTCTTCAGATCATTAGTATTCAATATATTCAATTTATATGGTATACTACGTTCCTGGGCTTTGCTTAGAATATTTTTAAATAGGTTATATTTTGAATCCACATCGAAATCCCCTTTTACGTCACCTGTTGCTGGGTTCACGTCTAACCCACACCCCATCCCCAAGACATTCCAATCTATTTGACCCAAAAAATTTCTTAGGCTATTGAAATCAGCTTTTCGAAAATCAGGCACTTTAACATAATTTTTTCCTACAGATCTATTTCATTCTGTGCTAAATCTGATTTCTTTATAATCACTGTTCCCTAGCTCACTCCCTATTTCCATGTCCTTAATTTGTGTTTCCCTGTTAGTTAACACTAAATCTAAATATTATTTCCCCGCGTTGGTTCCTTAATATGTTGCGTAAGAAAGCAATCGTCAATTAATTCTAGTAAGTCTTCTGCTACATTATTCACTGTTTTGTTCACCCAGTTTATTCCACTAAAATTAAAGTCACCCATGACATAAATACTGTTAGATCTAAATGCTCTAGATATTTCATCCCTTAAATGCTTTGCTTCCATTCTGTCTAAATTTGGTGGCCTATATATAGCTCCAATTATAATATTATTTGCTTTTTCGTTTAATTCTATCCAAATAGTTTCTGTGGGGCTCAGTTTTGATTCCCTCTTTGAGACTGCATTTCAAATTGTCTCTAACATATATGGCTACTCCCCCTCTTCGTCTAATATATCTATCTGTGTGAAATAGTTTAAATCCATTTATTTGATATTCAGCTAATAGTTCTCTATTTTTTACATTCATCCACGTTTCGATAAGTGCAATAATATCTATTTCTTCTGTACAGATAAGAGCATTTACCTCGTTTATTTTGTTTCTTAGACTTCTACTGTTAGTGTAATATATCCTAAGTGAATTGTTATTTTGAGGCCCTTTCTCTTTCCCTGATCATTTTGCCAATTTGTTTCTCCAACAAACACATATTTTTATTACCTCCTTCCTCCCTATCACTATCTACTAACAGCTTAAACCCAAACAAATGCCTCTAACCACTGGTTCCAACGAGTTCACAACAGCAACAACCCCAGCCCCCGACAGACGCACCCCATCACGAGCATACATTTCCTTTCTTCCATAGAAGTGTTCCCAGTTGTCTATGAAAGATATTGCATTTGATCTGCAATATCTTTCCAGCCGGCAATTGACACCAAGTGCCCTCGACAACCATTCATTCTCAACACTTTTTCTTGGAAGAATACCACATATGATCGGGATTCCTCCCTTGCTCCTAACTAATTCTATGGCTTTGTTAAATTTCTTTATCAGTTCCTCACTCCTAACTCGTCCAACATCATTACCCCTTGCACTAATACAAATAATGGGTTTGTTCCCATTTCCCGTTATAATATCTTTCATGTTGTCATCAATATCTCCAATTCCAGCTCCCGGTTAGCAGACCCTTAACCTGTTCCCCCTATCTCTGGCACAAAACGTCCTGTCTAAATAACTCACCTGGGAATCTCCCACAACCAAAATTCGCTTCGGTACCTCCTTAACTTTCTGAGCACCCTGAGGGGCCTGCGCTCCGCTGCTCCTCGCTGATTTCTGTTCCGAGTGAATTGCAGGCTCACCACAGCACTCGTCCTCCAACACGGCATATAAATTTGCTGTCCTTAGGGCGTCTGTAGGCGGCCTTGTCAAGGTCTTCTTAAGGCCCCTGTCCATAACGACTTTCCACAACGAGTTCTTGTTAATATTGGTCTCCTCCTTCGTTTCTTCCCGATGTTTCAGCTGTCGTACCTCATCTCGTAGGGATCCATCTCTGCTCTCAGAGTTCCAACTAGATTCATCAATTCCTTCACTAATCCTTCCAATATTGCTATAATAATGCTACTACAATCGGATGCATAATTGGTAATTAAATATTTGGACAATATTTTCCAAGATATGATTTATAATTTGCTGAGTTTAACCAAAATTGACCCAAAAAAGTCATAATTTCACAAACATGTTTCATACACTTAGCATCCTAAAAGCGCAATCGTCATTCACATATATATTTATATAGATATTTTTATATCATTAATGCTAAACTGTTCCATTCATCTAGTTTATGTTTATTAGTTTTAATACCTTATTAATATCCTCTTGATAAATCCACTGAGGTCACCCATATTCCATCAAGGTCTTATTGGATTTAGCATTAGTTAGGTTTGGTTAGGTAAGGTTAGGTAAGGTTAGGAGTGGTTGGGTTAAGTAAGGACAAGTTGAGTTAAGGTAGGAAAGATTAGGTTATGTTCAGTGAGTAAATCTAACGAAATATAAGTTAAATGCTATTTCCCCACCAAGATTTACCTAATCAAAAAAACTATGTAAACCAGTCCTAAACAATAATTCCCAACCTCATACCTATAATATCCTATCCCATCCAAAATCAATCTAACAGAACCTAAATCTAGCTGAATTGACCTAAATTTTAATTACCCAACAAACATTTAACTGATAGGTGCTAAATCTATGATAATTTAAGTAAATTTACTATATTATACCAAAATGCAGGTTAACAGAACCTAAATGTAAATAAATTTATCAAGACTGTCTGAAGACATTGTGTTAAAGGTACCAGGAGATATGAATGGTATAATTATCAGTGGATGCTGTGCCTACTTGTCCGAGTGTGTGTGTGTGTGTGTGTTTGATATCCTTTCAAATCTGAAGTAACATCACATTGTAAGATTTGTTTTTACGGCAGAGCAATGGCGTGGGGAGCAATAGCGACAGTGACCTTGGCGATGCTGGGTACCGTCGCCCCACAATACTTCGTCGAGAAGGACACCTCCAGTGTCACCGTTAACCTATCTAGCATCTACGACTTCAGCTTCGATCTCTACCGACAACTTTCGCCCAAAGGCAGGGCCGAGAACATACTATTCTCGCCCTATAGCATTTGGGCCGCACTAGCCATGGCGTACTTCGGGTCAGAGGGAGACACGAAGATACAGCTAAAAGCAGCACTCAGGGTTACGGACAAGATATCAACACTGAAGCTGTGGCGCAAACTTGGGATGAAGTGAGTATGAATGCTGCATGGCGCAAACTAGAAATGACGTGAGTATGGATGCTGCGTGACGCACACTTGAGATGACGTGAGTATGGATGCTGCGTGACGCACACTTGAGATGACGTGAGTATGGATGCTGCGTGACGCACACTTGAGATGACGTGAGTATGGATGCTGCGTAACGCACACTTGAGATGACGTGAGTATGGATGCTGCGTGACACACACTTGAGATGACGTGAGTATGGATGCTGCGTGACACACTCTTGAGATGACGTGAGTATGGATGCTGCGTGACGCACGCTCGAGATGACGTGAGTATGGATGCTGCATGACGCACACTTGAGATGACGTGAGTATGGATGCTGCGTGACGCACACTTGAGATGTTTTATGGATGCTGCATGACGCACACTTGAGATGTTGTATGGATGCTGCGTGACGCACACTTGAGATGTATGGATGCTGCGTGACGCACACTTGAAATGACATGAGTATAGATGCTGCGTGACGCACGCTCGAGATGACGTGAGTATGGATGCTGCGTGACGCATACTGTAAACACCATTCTTACCTTCCTGACAACAACATGCTTCATAATTTCTTGCATACACAACTCATTCAGTGAAAACATCAAGTCCTTACCTTATACATTACTCATACAGAATAGAAAGTTTGGTCCCCTCATGTTCATCTGTTTGTTCTTGGTCAGGAAAGAATTTAAATTATTTGTTTTAGAAATCAGTGCTGTTATTTGTACTATATTGTCAGTTTTAAATATTCTAAATCCATCAGATTCATATTGATTGTTACTACAATTTTAATTTCCTTCACTTGGAATAGTATTGATACAATCATCAGTACTGATGGTATGGTTACAGTCATCACTACTGATGGTATGTTACAATCATCACTACTGATGGTATGGTTACAGTCATCACTACTGATGGTATTGGTACAATCATCACTACTAATAGTATGGGTACAATCATCACTACTAATAATATTGGAACAATCATCACTACCAATAGTATTGGTACAATCATCACTGCTAATAGTATTGGTACAATCATATCTGCTAATAGTATTGGTACAATCATCACTGCTAATAATATGGTTACAATCATCACTACTAATAATATTGGAACAATCATCACTACCAATAGTATTGGTACAATCATCACTACCAATAGTATTGGTACAATCATCACTACCAATAGTATTGGTACAATCATCACTACTAATAGTATTGGCACAATCATCACTAGTAATAATATATCATCATTACTAATAGTATTGGTACAATTATCACTAATAAGAGTATTGGTACAATCGTCACTACTGATAATATATTATCACAATCATCACTACTTGGTACAGTCATCACTACTAATAGTATTGGTACAATCACCACTACTTATGGTATTGGAACAATCATCACTACATTAGAGCGCCTGACAGCTGGGTGGACATCGCTTCGGATTCGTAGTCTTGAGGTTCCGGGTTCGTCTCCGGTGGAGGCGGAGACAAATGGGCAAAATGTTTCTTTCATCCTGATGTCCCTGTTACCTAGCAGTAAATAGGTACCAGGGAGTTTGACAGCTGCTACGGGCTGCTTCCTGGGGGGGAGGGGGGGGGTAACAAAAAGGTGGCATGGTCGAGGACCGGGCCACGGGGACGCTAAGCCCCGAAATCCTCTTAAGATAACCTCAAGTTAAGGAACATGATTAAGGATTTAAACAGGGGGGGGGGCGATTGTAGTCTGAAATGAGAGTTTGTTATTGTACTGAAAGCAGATTTTTGCTGGGTAATGGTGAGCTTGAGGAAGTTTGCAGAGGTATTGCTAACTTCCCCACGCACAGATACCTTATGTAAGATAGGGATAGATTAGTGCGTAGTATAGTGAGAGGAGAGCAGAGTGACATATCTGATTTTACAGAGTATACCAACCGTTTTTGAGACTTTCTTGGTTATGTGTTGTATGTGGGTGCTGATGTTGAGTCTCTTGTCTAAGTATTGGCCAAGGAACTTTCCATCATTTTTTATTGCTGATGTTAACATTGTCTATCTGAAGCTGAATTGCATTTGTTGATTTGTTTTCAAATAAGATGTAGTAGGTATTTTCTATGTTTAGTGTGAGTTTATTGGTTGACATCCATAAGTGGATGTACAACCATTTAATTTCATTTTGTTCATTGCTCGTTATTTAACGTGTGTGGGTTTGGTGTCTGAGTAGATGAGGGTAATATTGTCATCAAATAATATAGGTTTAAGAATGATAGAGACATTAGGCAGAGCATTGATGTATATAAGAAACAGAAGAGGTCCTAAGATACTGCCCTGTGGCACTCCTATGGTTAATGGTAGAGTGGGAGAGGTTATATCATTGATGGCTACATATTGGTGTCTGTCACTAAGATAGGATCGGATATAGTTCAGTGGCAACGCCTTGGATTCCATAATGGTGTAGTTTAAGTAAGAGGTAATTGTAGTTTACAGTATCAAGAGCCTTTCTCAGGTCAATGAAGAGTCCAATCGGAAACTCATTTTTGTCAAGGGCTGAGTAGATTATATCAAGCAGACTAATAATTGCATCATTGATACTCTTTAGGGAGTGGAAGCCCAACTGACAGGGATTAGTATGTTGAATTTTACGAAGTAGGAGTAGAGCTGTTTGTAAATAATATTTTCAAATATTTTTGATAGTATAGGTAGACTTGACATTGGTATGTAATTGTTTATATCTGCCGGATTGCCTCCTTTATGAACTGGCGTTACTCGTGCTTTTTTAAGCATATCAGGGAAGGTATGACACACTATAGAGTTGTTAAATAGCAGAGCTATGGTGGAGCAAGGGCACTGGAGACACTCTTGTATACCATGGATGGTATTTAGCTAATGATCTCAGCTTTGGTTTATAGTGAGTGAATGATTGACACAACATCTGTCGGGCTGACTGGTGAAAGGAGAAGAGAGTTTGGATAGCTGCCTGAAAGATTACTGCCTTGGTAAGGCCCTCGTTTACATAAAGGTTGATTTTTTTCTGTGCAGCTGTTTGGATGAGGTCATACTTAGCAACGGAATTTGCAAGATTCATGAGCATTCTCCTAGTGCTACCGGAACTGTTTTTATCTTTCCATATAATCTTCTGCTATCCAGAAAATCTATCGAAACTGATGCTCCTACAAGAGAGGACATCACATACAAGAGAGGACATCACTGAAGCCTAATCAGGGGTTTTACGCATTGCCCCCCTCCCTCACGTGTACTCTGGGTGTGGTCCAGGAGTTCTAACTCGTAAGCTTTTCATATGAAAAATGAATCACGACTAAATCATTGGTTGCACTGCTGTTGACCATGCCATAGTGAAGTGGTCTAGGTCATGGGCTTAAGAGAGCCAAGTGTGCAGGTTCGAATGCTCCTCGTGACCCCTACTGATTTTCAAACTATTATTGATATTACTGCTACCATCATAGTCACTACTACTGTTACCATCATCGTCACAACTACTGCTACCATCATCGTCACAACTACTGCTACCATCATCGTCACAACTACTGCTACCATCATCGTCACTACTACTGTTACCATCATCGTCACTACTACTGCTACCATCATCATCACTAATACTGCTACCATCATCGTCACTAGTCACTACTACTGCTACCATCATCGTCACTACTACTGCTACCATCATCGTCACTAGTCACTACTACTGCTACCATCATCGTCACTACTACTGCTACCATCATCGTCACTAGTCAGTACTACTGTTACCATCATCGTCACTACTACTGCTACCATCATCGTCACTACTACTGCTACCATCATCGTCACTACTACTGCTACCATCATCGTCACTAGTCACTGCAACTGCTACCATCATCGTCACTACTACTGTTACCATCATCGTCACTACTACTGCTACCATCATCGTCACTACTACTGTTACCATCATCGTCACTACTACTGTTACCATCATCGTCACTAGTCACTACAACTGCTACCATCATCGTCACTACTACTACTACCATCATCGTCACTACTACTGTTACCATCATCGTCACTAGTCACTACAACTGCTACCATCATCGTCACTAGTCACTACTACTGTTACCATCATCGTCACTACTACTGCTACCATCATCGTCACTACTACTGCTACCATCATCGTCACTACTACTGCTACCATCATCGTCTCTAGTCACTACTACTGTAACCATCGCCGTCACTACTACTGTTACCATCATCGTCACTACTACTGTCACCATCATCGTCATTACTACTGTTACCGTCATCGTCACTACTACTGTTACCATCATCGTCACTACTACTGTTACCGTCATCGTCACTACTACTGCTACCGTCATCGTCACTACTACTGTTACCGTCATCGTCACTACTACTGTTACTATCATCGTCACTACTACTGTTACCATCATCGTCACTACTACTGCTACCATCATCGTCACTACTACTGCTACCATCATCGTCACAACTACTGTTACTATCATCGTCACTACTACTGTTACCATCATCGTCACTACTACTGTTACTATCATCGTCACTACTACTGTTACCATCATCGTCACTACTACTGTTACCATCATCGTCACTACTACTGCTACCATCATCGTCACAACTACTGTTACTATCATCGTCACTACTACTGTTACCATAATCGTCACTACTACTTTTACCATCATCGTCACTACTACTGCTACCATCATCGTCACTACTACTGCTACCGTCATCGTCACAACTACTGCTACCATCATCGTCACTACTACTGTTACCATCATCGTCACTACTACTGCTACCATCATCATCACTAATACTGCTACCATCATCGTCACTAGTCACTACTAATGCTACCATCATCGTCACTACTACTGCTACCATCATCGTCACTAGTCACTACTACTGCTACCATCATCGTCACTACTACTGCTACCATCATCGTCACTAGTCAGTACTACTGTTACCATCATCGTCACTACTACTGCTACCA